TAGGAGGGTTTTGTCTGCCTTCCCCCCCTCATGAGGCTCTGTAATATTCGTACTTAGGCAATAACTTTTCTACAGTCCCTCCCTGGTACTATGTTGGCGACTAAAACGCCCTCTATTCCCCCGAAAACTATGTGATCCCTCTAAACTCCTACCCCACCCTCCACTCGGCAGGAAATAATGACAAGGAGAAAGTGTAAGGCGCTCAGAGTTCGCCAAGCTGCTGTTTTATTTTTCAAATGTGATCGCCAGGTATATGTTCTCACCATTACAGAAATTCAAGGCAAGAAACTTGATGCTGTTCTAGCATCTGGGTCAGGAAATATTTCTATTCGGTTTCGAAACTGTTAAACGGAACTGATGTTTGGTTTTTGTTGGTAGGACTGTGTGGTATGAGATGTGTTCTCGCTCCTGGCCATTTGAGAAAAATATACCTGAATCCATAATCTGGCAAGTGGGAAAAGGAGTAAAACAGTCGTTAGCAAATATAGATATTCCGAGAGAAGTTAAGGTATGTAAAATTACCACATTTGCGTGGTGAATGGCTAATTCATAATGAAAATAGGACTGAATGGAATCTCATTTGGTCTCCTCTCCGTGTAATCTTATGATTGATTAACAAACTCGCACGACCGTGAAAGGAGAGTCCGATTTGTTGAGAAACAATACTGTAACTGATCGATCTACGCGAAAGCGTCGAAGCAACACGCGATGTACATAATACATAAATCCCTTGAGCCAAGATACTTTGAGCCTAAAAAAACTAACGTGAGAGGGATTGCCTTAAGACTAGAGCCTTTTTGGGGTATTCAGTCTCGAAGATTGCTCCTCTCTCGTCTTCACTTCATGCTCTCTGTTCGTCGTAAATGCCATAGTATAGTGGAAGTGCAATGAGTACTCTAACTAGCTTGATGTCACTTCTCTCCAGTACCCCTGCAAACAAATTAGACAGATCAAACGGAAGATGATTTAAAAACCCTAGTTGTCAAGAAGCATACAAGAGTTTGGGAAAGTTTAGATGAGGGGCTACCATAGAAACAAATCCTTTTGGTGAGCAAAGTCGGACGTGGGTTTATTTCGACGCACTCACCGTTCGACTTCGCTACCTCACGTTGAGACCATTTTCTTCTTTTTTTAGGATACTTTAACAGTTTGTTGGGCATTCGAGCCAGATAGACGACCAACTTTCGGAAATTTACTGAGAACTTTAGAAAGACTTCCAAAAATAAGACATGCGCAACGGCTACACAGAAGTCCATCTCAGCCGTGCACTGTGGGGAGAGGGGCTGAGAATCTGATATGAAGCTATCATGTCAATTGAGCGAATCAAGGCTGTGGTAAAAAAGGCAATAATCTTCGCTGTCTTCGACGCTACTAGTATGAGCGTGTTTCTCCCAGTGTAAGCAATCAGGGACCATAAGCAGTCAGGACGGCAACGCCAAGGAAAACTTCGATTAAAAAATGAATTTCT